CAGAAATTTGTCTCGGTTTGTCTCGGTGTACGATGCGCCTGGGGGCCAAGCGGCGCTGCTCTTGGTGGCCGTCGCCATGGTGGGTGCCGTCGCGGCGATCGTTGCCGTCTCCGTGTCCAAGAAGGTTGGACCGTCAATCATCTCGATGGAAGATGGCTACGTGCCGCTGACGCAAGACATGCACTAAGCCATCGCACTCTCGTCGTCGTGTTTATAAGGTGCTGTCAGTTATCGGTCCATAATATATGGTGAATTGTTTCTCTTTACGCCAACTCTTGACTTGTTGACACAAGCTGGGAGGAGGGGAAATGATGATTTTACCAACAAGTGGAAGAATCTCCCTGCGCAGAAGGTCAAACACGCGAAGGACGTGGCACAATGCATGCAATAGATGGGAGATAGCACGGTACTAGGCGTTCATAGCCCCGGTAGCGTAGCCATTGTGCGTTTTAGCCTCCTAGCCGTAAGCGATTCCTGCCACGCCACTCCCAAAATGGCGCCAAAATACTCTTGTTTGTCCCCACTCCACGTGCTCGGTGTTCACAAAGCGATAAGACGTGCTACGATATGGTAGTCGCCGACAAGGGGGCTTAGCGCGGTCGACGTGCTCAAAGGAAGAATCAAATATTCCCGAGGACGTGCTGCACGACGATCCTATACGGTGGCCCGCACCCAAAATCGACACCAGTGGAGCAAATCGTGCTTTACGAGGCGAGTATATGCCCATGCATGTCCTGGGTGGCAAGTGATCATTAGATCGCGTCAGGCGTGAGGAATACGGCGTTTACACAGAGAACTCCATACGTGACACTATGGCACACGTTGTGGGAGTTTCAACGTATCGGTAGAGAGTATCAGCAGAGTTTTTAGGAGGAGCAGGCATAGGCCAGCCAAACCTCGACGTAGTTTCGATTTGGCTGCGGCCTGCTAAGTCTCGACCCGCCTTGCCACATCCCTTAACAGTCTAGGTAATCCAACTCCTTTTGCCCCCTTTGCTGGTAACAAGCACGACTCCTGAAACGTAAAGCCGCGTGTGGGGCATGTGCAGAAAAATAGCCAACTGCCAACCATCGGCACGTCATAGCAAGGTCTTGGTCGCTCGTATGGGTCTCGGTGACGCTTTGGTCCCTTTTGTAAGCGCATGTGTTGTGTTTCAGCAATTTCCATCAACACGAGTAAAAGTTTCTCGTGTCGCTCTCATAGTCTTATTTAATCAGAGCAACCCGCGAGAGCGATCGAGTTGCCGCGCTACTTTGGTCTCCACCAATCAGAAGTCTCAATTGTTAGCTCACCTTTGTCCATCGGCCTATCACATCGTGCGATTTTAGTTTGAACTCAATGGGTGTGGACACGACCGCACACACGATCCAAAGACGCGGGAAAGATCGTATCTTTCGCCCCAGTGGTTTCATGCAACTTTTCACGAACGGTCTTGAATCTCATTGGTGCAGATAAGGCATCGCAAGTTGTGATTGGCTACAAAATTTTGGCCGGGCGAACGCCCGTTCAAAATCTCCCGCCAACAATGACGCCACACATTGGCACATCTCGATTTCCCCACCAACGATGAAGACCCGCATTGGAGTGTGCCTCGCGGTAGCCATTATCGTCCATGCCAACGCTCACAAAGACGTGGCATCTGTCGCGTCGAAGGACATCACGAAGGCGACTGCAACATCCCGCGCTCTCGCTGCGGCAGAAACAGAGCTACAGCCGCAGTTGTTCGACATCATCTCGAACGTGCTCGATCCCATCACGGACATACTCGATCCCGTGCTCGATCCCATCACAGACGTACTCGATCCCGTGCTCGATCCCATCACGGGCCTGCTCGATCCCATCACGGACGTACTCGATCCCATCACGGACGTACTCGACCCCGTGCTCGATCCCATCACGGGCCTGCTCGATCCTATCACGG